CTAGAGTCTTTTGGGACAATTTTTCGGATCCTTTATGGAAGGACTCGTCTTTGGGACTACCACACCCCAGCCTTGGTGCTTCTGAATCTTAAACAAGTTGCTAGACCGCTCTGGACCCGGATATACTACCCCCTACGAGCCCAGGGTTTAGGTTTGGGGCTTAGGGTCTATGGATTATTGTAGAAGCCCGAATAACTAATTGCCAATACTATCTTGGGGGTTCCTTATTATCAGCATAGTATATTGGCCACTTGCAACTTACACCCTGTTCTAATTATTACGACCCTACATTAAAACCCCCGTAATACCCCTTATGGTAACCCTTTTCGGACCCTTTTCAAGAACCCTTTAAAGAAACCTCCCTCTTCGAGTTATTACGGCTCCACAACTAAATACTCATAATAGCCCTTATAGTAGCCCCCCCTACACTAAATCCTGACAGTAGCCCTCGTAGTAGCCCTTATGGACCCCTTTAAAGGAACCCCTTTTAAAGGAACCCTATTCTAACCCTATATTATGGGCACCCCTCCCAGCCTAGTTCCTTTGGTGAATACTCCCATATGCAGCCTCTTGGAAATGTATTTCGAACTCCTCAGTGTTGTGACCTCACCCTCCTGATCTCTAACGGCGTTGTCTTTTGGGATGTTTCTTTTTAATTTCCCCTACTATTTTCTAGAGAACCAGAATAGTCAATAATTTTCAAAGGGCTTAAAGGACAACTCAGCCACTCGCTATAATCCCAAACCACCAACAGCGGTTATAGTACAGTTGGCAGTGTGTAGGGCTCATGGTCCGGGGTCGTGGGTTGGACCCTCATCCTCAACCTTCCTACTTGGAGGATCGTGGGACTTAGTCAGTAAGGTTATAAGTACCTTAACTGGGGTTATAAGTAGCTATAAGTTTAGTTAACCTACTTATAACCCTAGTTACTAAGTCCCATGATCCTTTAAGTACAAGCCCTGAACCCTAATTAGAGCTACAAGCGAGTAGCCCTAGACCATGTGCGCGTTTGAGCCTCGAACCGTACATTTTGTTGGAGCTCAAAGGATGTGGACAATTAGTCCATTAAAAGTAGAAGCCAGAAAGTTGGAATATGATTCTCCTAAGCCCTTTATGGTAAATTATAAGGTATCCTACCCTGAAACCATATTCCAACTTTCTGGAGTTCCCTTTAGGGTACTTATAACTCTCCTTCAGGGGTTCTTTCGCAGGTCCTGGGAGCGCTTGAGGACTTGATAACGACAAAAGGGTTTCGGGGGCACATCTTGCGTATTGGTGAGCCTGTGTAGGGGCTATAGTTCTTCCGACCTCCATCCCTAAGGGTCCAAGTACTGCCTATTTTAGGACTTTGGGGCCTTTTTGGGTACCAAAAACCATAAATAAGGACAACTTGGACCCTTAGGGCATAAGAGTACAGGATCAGGGCTCTCAATAAGCCAAGTTGTTATTTGTCCATAGGGGAACCGCAGAGAAATACGAGACCAAGCAGAAGACCTTTGTTTGCCCAAGTACTTCCTGAACCCATTGAAATGTTGACACTGTTGATGGACAAAATCCTGCATGACCCTAAAGACTCTAAACTATGGGAACTATGGTATATTCCTTATGATGGGTAATGCGGGGTTTTGTCCATCAGCAGTATGTTAAATCTGAAGTCGAAAACCCCTAACAGCAACACCCAAGCACCTCCGAAACTGCAGCTCTAAGCTCCCCCAGCCGCAACCCTAAACCACAAGCCCGAAAGCCCCTAAACCCCGAAACGCCGGAACCAAAAAGTGCGCCAAAACCTCAAAAAACTGCAAAAAGCCGAAGCCCAAGAACGCCCTAAAGCCTCAAAGCCCTGAGCCCTAACCCCGAATCCCCAAACCCCAAAACCCCAAAAGTACCAAACCGCAACCCAGAGACTCCAGTATCCCTTAATTAAGGAATATTCCTTAAATTATAGTAGGATCCCTTATATGATTTAAGGAATAGTCCTTACTTAAGGGATATTAGACTCCCCCAAACCCCAAACCCTATAGATCCCTTATAGATCCCTTTAAGGAACCCTAGGTATATTCCTTAATTAAGGGGATAGTGGAGTCTCTGGGAAACCCAGGCCCGACGAAGTTTGGTCCGTCGAAAGCAGGGCACCAAGCCACTGGGCGGTGGTAGTTTGAATCTGTGCTCGGGTTTAGGGTTTGAGGTTTAGGGTTTAGGGTTTAGGGGTTTCAACCCTAAACCCTAAACCGGTTTAGAGATTAAAGTAAACGCTCAGAAAGTTGGAATTTGATTATCTTAAGCCCTTTATGGAGATTATAAGGTATCCTACCCTGAAACCATATTCCAACTTTCTGGAGTTCCCTTTAGGGCGTGTTTATCATTTAGGGCTTCTAGGGCTCCTTCAGGATTTTAGGGCTCAGAGTTCGTGCAGGATCTCGGGTTTAGGTTTCGTTCAGGGTGTAGAATCCAAAGAAGAGGTGAGGCTATGGCTATGGCTCTACTTGGAGGCCCAGAGCACTTAGTGAGTCGGTTATAAGTAGGGTGTCTGTTTTTAGGGTTTAGGGTATAAGTAGGGTAATTATTGGTGTAACTCGATTCCGGGTTCTTCTAACTCTACTTATAACCCTACTTATAACCTACTTCCTAAGTCCCCTGCGCCTCTAAGTATCGTTGCACCGTTTCACCACTGAGGCTCCTATATAGTACGGTTGGGTCTGTCGGTTTCTGAGTAAGATACGTCGGAAACCTTATAAATCTTCGGGTATAGGTAAAGCCTACCCCAGGTACCGATAGATAGGTTGTTGATTTCGCCTTCTGCTTCGGGTAGAACCCCAGTTCTAACCATAAATGATCTTGGCAACTGTCGAAATTGACATCTAGCTGAGAGTTGAAAAGATTTGGGTACAAGCTTCAATCATTGCCAACTTCCTTCCCTTTTACCTATACGGTGAAATGGCTCAGAACCATTGGGCGCCCAGCAACTTAGGGCCTACTTAGAGGCCCAGAGGACTTGGCAAGTAGGTTACAAGTAGGGTTATAAGCGCCTTAGATTGAATTACCTGAATTGGAACCCTAAGCTATAACCCGACTTACTAAGTCCCCTTGGCCTCTAAGTAAGTATAAACCCGTATTCTGGCACCCCCAAAAGCACCCTTATAGAAACCCGTAAAGGAACCATTAGAGAAACCCTTCCTCGAAACCGTTTAAAGGACCCTTTAAAGGGCTCTAAGTAGGCGTTTGAGGGACGTAGGGGGAGATTTGGGTTGATCAACATGGGTTGAGGCTTTGGGAGATGAGATGATCTGGGCTTAGGGTTCAGGGTTCGTTGATGGTTGAGGGGGGCAGGGTTTGTTTCGGGTTTAGGGTTTGAGCTATCTGGTTCAGAGTGAGGCCACGTTCTCAAAAACCTGATAGCCATCTGGGAGGTTCCGAAAATAGGGGACCCTAATATAGTAGTTACCCTAAATCGTAGGATCTTTATTATAAGGACCCCCCCAAATAAGGTACCCCTAATCTTCGGAAACTCCCATCTATTCCCAAGTGCCAAGCAACACTGCTGCGTTCGAAGCTGCAGTGGCTACTTCTTGCGTAACCCTAAACTCCAAACCCTAAACTCTCAACCCTAAACCCCTAAGCCCTAAACCCCTAAGCCCTAAACCCTAAACCCCAAACCCTAAACCCTAAACCCCAAACCCTAAACCCCTAAACCCTAAACCCTACACCCCAACCCAGGAATGCCCTGAACCCCAGAGACAGCTCAGGAAATCCCAGTGCCAAGGGCTCTTTCTCGCACTCGGACCCACTGAAGTGGGGCTTTGCGCGTGGGAACCCGGAATTTTGGGGATAAGGGTCAGGATTTCTTTGCAGCTACCGGGTTCCATTTAGGGTTTAGGGTTTGCGGTTTAGGGTTTAGGGTTTTAAACATCGGATCATGCATTTCGGAAGAGGGGAAACTCCAATGAGAGCCTTGTCATGACTGCTATGATGGTGTGACTTTCGTTTCCAGCAGACTTAGATGCCTCAGTATCCCTTAGAACACTGAGACGCGGAGATGGGGTTGATGAGCCTGCACAGGTCATACCGGGAGGTCGTGAAACTTAACATAGGGCCTTAGTAATTGCCTATACTATTTTGGGAGCTCCTTACCAAAATTACAGTATAAGTAATGGGCCTCCAAACCCTATCCTACTTGTTACCGCCCCTTATTAGAAACCCAGGATGCCCAGTAGTACCCTTATTCCCTTTTTGTAGTCCCAGGTTCCTTATAAAGTTACCCAATACCAAAAAGAGAGGCCTTTTTATTCTGAGGTTCCTGGGTATCCTAGAAACCCAAAACCCAAAGCCCTAAAGGATCTTCTGCCTTCTAACCTTAACTCAACACCGACGATGCGCAACATGTAGGATCTGACTTGCACGGACGCTACAGTTACAACCTCAAGCCTAAACCTTAAACTTAGATAGTGAACGGGGGAACTTTAAACTTTTTGGCCTTATATATTAGCTCTATCTTAGAAAGTTTGAATTTTTTGGGGCCCGGTTGTTGAAGAAGAGAGTAAAGGACCTAAACACGAAACCCTTTAGACCGAAGAGAGTCAGACCTGATTTGTCCCAGAATCCCCAACGATCCTGCAGACACCCAACTCCAACACATTCCAGTGCCGGTCTCTTCGGGTTTTAGATGTATTTGGGCTTATGGTTCAGGGTTACGTTCTCTGGATCTGGACGTACTGGTAACGTAGACCCATTTGTTTGACAAAGTGGAATTTATCGTGCACTGAACCCTCGCTCATCCTTCTAGGAAGGGGTTAAATTCTGACTGACATTTTGGCTCAGGAGGTGGCAAGCTTGGAGGGTTTAGGGTTCCTAAACCCCAAACGGAGTTGGTCTTCTGAATAGTGCAGGACCGGCTTTCACTCCAAAGTGATGGTCGTGGCTGACGGTAGCGTCGCAAGTCACTTAGTGCCTTGAATTTGTCAAGCTCACCGTACCTCCTAAAGCTCTCTACCGGGTCTTAGCTCATGTCTGGGTGCACGATGAGAGCCCGGCATCACGACGCTTCACTCCGGCGGCGTCTTTCTCCTGCGATCAGGCTTGGGAAACCGCCAGGGGTGAAAGGTACTTTTGTGCAGGGTTGCCGCAGTGATAACAATGCTTACTTTACAAAACTGACATGTTGGGTTTCCTATGACTACATACCGTATTCAAAACGGGCTTTGGAGAAGTAAGAACGGACTTCCTATGAATATGACAGGCTTTGTGCCGCAGTAGTACTTTTGAACCTTAGTAAGCAGGCCTTATTCCTTATGGCACTCCTCATCATGCTTCACATGTATACAAGGTATATAGGCATACGGGTGTTATCCGTTTCACAACACTGCTGTATCTTGATTCTTTCGAGTTCTTTCGGGAGGATGTTGTGGGTTATCCTGCCCTTTGTGTTTGCACTGTTCTCCTTCATGCCGCAGCAGGAATGCCTCTGCATGGTTGCTGCTCTGCTGGGCTTCCTGCCATCCGTGGCTGCTGTTATTGCCTGAGTCGGCAAGCCCTTTCGATGTGCTTGGGCTTTCTGGCAAAGCTCACTATACGGAAGCTGAGATCCGCCAAGCGTACAAGCGACGCGCACTTGAGGTGCACCCTGATCGTCAACCTTCGGAGCGGAGGGAGGCTGCAACGATTGCTTTTCGTCGGGTGTATGAGGCCTATGAGGCATTGAGAGACGGAGACGCTGTGAGATGCGGATCGGGCTTAGGCTCAAGCAGCTCGCGCAGGAGTGACGAAGCTCAAGCAGGTTGGCGGAAAGCAATGCAGGACTTGATGCGGGAGGAAGACAACAGACGTAATAAGATGCGTGATGCAGAAGAGGATTCCAAGATCGAAGCCTTGCGTGATCTGTGGGTGTCGGGACGCAGTGAGCAGGCATTGGACTACTACAAGAAGGACCAGGGTTTTGTGGTTTTGGGTTTATGAAGATGTTGCTGCTTGTCATTCGCTGTGTTGCTGCGTTTCCATTTCCACGCTGTAAGGGATCCATTAACTGAAGTTGTTGATGTGCATGAACTTGTAGCTCGGAACAAAACCAACCCTAAGGATTCATGTCCCCATATAGTATATACTTTGGCCTTCAAGTACTGCCTGTTGAGGTACATTGGGCCCAAAGTACATACTATTTGGGTACATGGACCCTTAAACCCTCAACCCTACACCCTTATGGTACCCGTTTTGAACCCTTTTTGGAACCCTTGAAGGAACCCTGTTTGGGCACATGGACCCTTAGGGCAAATGCCACCCAATCGAATTCTTTGTGCTGAGCACGCACCCATGGGTTCAAGGCTACTATCATTGGGGCCTTGGAAATAGGAACCCCTGTGTTGTTTACTATAGGGGCCTTAATAGTTCGAATATGGTTCCTTTAAAGGGGTCTATAAGGGCTACTATGAGGGCTATTATAAGGATTTAGCATAGGGGCGTCAATAATGAGAATAGGGTTGGGGGGTATATTATACTGTAAAGTTCTAATAGGGAACCTCCAAAATCCTTATTCCAATTACTATGGCCCTACATTACCACTAGGGAATCAGACCCCTCAAAGACAGTTAAAGTCATGGTCTTGGGGGACCTAACTCCATAATCGTAGTATATATATATATATATTTATTTATGTGTGTGTGTGTATTATGTGTATACATATGTATATTATATATGTATATATATACACTATATATTTCATTATATGTACTCTCTTGGCAAGGAAGCCAAAACCCCAAGCTTCTCAACACTCATAGATCCCTTTTACAACTCGTTAAGGAACTGGCCCAAGAAACCTATTTATATGGGTGCCTAAATAATTACCTATGATGTTTTGGGAGCTCCTTCTTATCATTAGTATGGTATATCGGGCCCCCAAACTTTTTTTAACAGACAAAATAAGGCCCCTACATTATATGGATTCTCTTGGGCTCAGGACTTCTGGGTGGTATTTGATTTTGACGCAGTTGCACAGAAGCTGGGCCGAAGCTGCCCCGACCTCGTGGACGCAATCTCCCTGGTCCGAGAAGCACGGAGGAACGAAGCTCAGCTCCTATCTTAAGGACGATGTGAGCCTTAAAAGTGTTTAAGTTATTAAGGTTCATCACCATACAGAGGTTCATACCTTAAACCCTAAATCCAAAATCCCAAACCTTAAACCGTGAGGGCCCCGACTTATGTGCGTCATTTGGTCCCCAAGGTATTCTGCATACCTCCTCAGTGGCCTGCGATGCCGTTAGCACCCTAACTTAGGGTTTAGGGTTTAGGGAGCTTTTTTATCCTCCGAATTCGGGAACACCCCCATCAAGGTTGCCCGGGGCATCAACATGCAAGAACCATGACCATGAACCCGCAACCCGAAACCCCTAAACCCTGGACCCTCCTGTGACCGTCGTAGTATGCCTGAAGTGCAGCGGAGTTTTCGATACTGGGGCTTCGGGTTTGGGGTTTTGGGTTGTCGAGGTTATAGTCAGCATGGCTGTTTTTGTTGTTGGAACTGATCACTCCCCGTTGAACCTCCAAGTAGGAAGCCTCTGGAAATTCTGGGAATATGAAGGGCTGGTCCAGGTGATACCTTCCGGACCAAACGACTCGTATAAGTAGGGGTCTTGTACACTTATACTATGAACCCCTTTCTGGTAGATGAACGTCAAACTCTGTTAAGGTTCTCATCGTCCTTAAGGTGGAGGGTAAAGTTGAGATGAATATGAGGCCTCTTGCCCTCTTTATTGGGGTTCTTCATATGAATCCTAATGTATTGTGGATTATTGGGGGCCTAGGGCAAGAGTTTCTTAACCAGGTTCCTGCATTGTCATAAGCCCGATGTCCTCAGAACCGAAGCAAATGCGCCAGCACCCGGCATGTCATGTAAGGCATTGTCCAATGTCCCAAGGGCACAAAGTATTCACCCTCGAAATGTGCAACTAAGGAATTGGAAGCAGGAGTTTTTTTTGCTGTGGGGACTTACGTTCGTTTCATGGGACAAAAGAATCTTGTTCTGTAGCTTTCCTATATTGCAAAGCTTTGGCTTGCCTCGTAGGAGATGCAAATCGGAGGCAACAAGTTCGGTGCGCCTGGCCGAATAAGCAGAGAGTGCTGAACTTGGTGGACGCGATGTTTGTCAGTGACGTTGATGAACTCGCCAACAGCCTCGAAAGGGGAATGTGGATACCGGACGCTAAGACTTCTGAGTTCGTTTCGTTCCTGCGAAGCTATGTGGACACAAGACGGTCACGCACGGAGCAGTCAGTGGCTGCTACGCTTGACAGTGGTTGCAAGGCGGTTCTCGCTGCCTGGCCTGACCGAGATCGCGCAAGGCGCGCTCTCTTCTAGTCTTTGCTTTGCATCCTGTCTTGTCAGCTTTCTAAGTTGAAACACCCGAACCCTAAACCCACAACAACCAGGCGAGTCCTCTACGGAGAGTACTTTCTCTGGAGGAGAGAGATCGTGGAAGCTCTGCCTGATGACGTGCGACAGGCTCCCGGTACTGCCGCTACTGCATCCTCCGTGGGTAGAGTCGCGTAGAGTAGATTGTATTTGTGAAAATTCTGATTCATGTAGGTTTGTGTTTTTAATTGTATCTGTTGAAACTATGAGTCATGTAGGTTCACGACGCCGGGCACATTGGATTCCGGAAACCACACCGCGCATGCCCTTGCTAGGGTGTGTTCTTCGACCTTAGTCAACATAATCCTTATTTGCCACCTCAAAAAGGGAGGCCCCTTGAGGGGGTTCGAGGGTGCAAGCAGATGTCATGCTTAGTGGCCCAGGGGACTTAGTAAGGGCTCCTGTAAGGGATCTATAGGGTTCCTTAAGGGGATCTATGGGGTTTAGGGTTTCGGGTCTACTTGGAGGAGCAGGGGACTTAGTAAGTAGGTCAAAAGTAGAGTTATAAGTCCCCTACATGGAGTTACCCCAATTATCAGCCTACTTATAGCCTATACTTACTAAGTCCCCTTGGCCTCCAAGTGGTACCCCGCCTTGAGGCGCTGCTTATGGAGCAGACAGCGGAGCAAAGACCAGCCCTGCCTGAGCGTTTCCGAGGCTTTCTGTCTCAGCTGTCAGGATAGTTTCGCTGATGTGGCAGTCCCTGTTTCCCAGAGGGTCCAAAGTACCCATATGGTAGAGTGTAGGGGTTCTATATTCGGAATTAATATTATGATTTGGGGAAGTTCCCCCATAACAGTACTTAGGACCCTTTGGGTTTTGAAAGAACATCACCCAAAGAGTCCAGTACCCAAGTTAATGAGATACTTTCCCCAAAGCCATGATAGTTCATCCCTATACGGGAATGCTATGTCCCTGAACATGGACCCTCCGGGTTACCTGTTTTGCCCTGTGGCTATGTGTTCCGATAGGGTTCCCTTTGCTGGAAACCCTATATAGTCCCTGCCGTGTATATATATATATGTATATATCTATATATATATATATATATGCTACCATATATATATATATATATATATATATATATATATATATATGCCCCCTTCAAGAGTTTTATTTAGACTCTGGATCGCCTGGTTGATGGTTTGGACATGATCGGGATTTTTATGGGTCGTGTAGGTGCATCAGAAAGGAGTTGCTCGCTTTAGACTACTAGAGCACCTCGCTTTGAATCAGGTGCGTTGACCAAAAGACGTGTGCAACATACATGCAGCTTCCTGTTTCCTGTGGCGAGGAAGGGAATTGTTCTTGTTGCTTTCCCTCAACCCCCAGAGATTCCAATACCCCTTAATTAAGGAATATCGGAGTATACCTGAATTAAGGGGTTATATAAGGAATATACCTTAAATTATAGTAGGATCCTTAATATGGTTTAAGGAATATTCCTTTATTAAGGGATATTGGAGTCTCTGGGCCGAAACCCTAAGCCCGGGCGTGAGGTTTGGGGCGAAGGCCCAGGACAGGTCACATTGTGGACAGGGCGATGCCAAACCAGGACCTTAGCCATACCCCTAAACCCTAGAACCCTCTGACCCTTAACCCTTATACCTTAAGCTCTATAACCCTAAACCCTAAGCCCCTAAAGCCCTGAACCCTAAAGCCCTGAACCCTAAACCCGCAAAGCCCTGAACCCCAAAGCCCTGAACCCTAAACCCCTAAAGCCCTGAACCCTAAACCCCTAAAAACCCTTAATCCTAAACCCCTAAAGCCCCAGTGGCTTTAGGGAATCGGGCTCTCGGGTGTTTCAGATTCCTTGGTCCCAAACCCACGCAAGCAACAACCTACATCACTTCCCTACTTGGAGGGTTTAGGGTTTAGGGTTCCTTTTAAGGGTTCCATAAGGGTTCTATCAGGGGGTTTTGGGTTTAGGGGTTTACGGGTTTAGTAAGTAGGCTACAAGTAGGCGGATAATTGGGGTAACTCCATGTAGGGGACTTATAACTCTACTTATAACCTATGTAGTTACTAAGTCCCCAGTCCCCTGGGCCTCGAAGTAGTGGCAGAGTAGGCAACCTTCAACCTTTTTTGGGTAGTATAGTCCCTATATAAACCCTATATAACCAACAACGTTTCCTTTATAAGTTACCCATGATACCCGACAAGCAGGCTTCATCTGGGTAGTTCCCTGAGTTAGGGTACGTTTTAGGGTCCTTTTGCAAGGGTGCCGTACTAATCATTTTGGGGACCAGAAACGCACCCTAATTTCGAGAACTACCCATGTGGTCAGTGGTCATACGCTATCATGAGCTACGACAGTCCTTGTCCCCGCCAATGTAGAGCCGTATATACGCAGTAAAACAAGCAAACCATGTAATCCTAGGCCGCACCTTGTGAACCCTTACTCTCGAGCACAGTTCGAACATCCATGACATGTTCAACCCTAAACCCTAAAACCTACCACCCTGGCACGTTGGCCCAAAACCTCCAGCCTTTCAACCCACAAAGCCCCCAAGGCATAGACCACTAAACCATACGGTTGATGATCTAAATCCTGCAAAATCCTAAATGACCCGAGACTATGGGAATCATATGGCATATTCCTTATTACTTGTATGGGTAATGCAGGATTTCTATCACCAACCATATATCTCGAATCCCCATCTCACCAAACTCTGCGCCAACCCTCATCAAATCATGCTGGCACCTATTGCCCAAAGGCTCCTAAGTACCTATATGGTAGAATGTGGAGTTTCTATATGTGGATGACCATTATCATAGTAGCTCAGTGGATACACTTTACACTTTTTGGGAGAATATTACCCACCATAAAACTAAAAGTGTGCATTTTGGTTTAGGGAAGTATCCCCCATAACAGTACCTGGGACCCTTTGGGTTCTTGTCTATCCCAGAACCAGGAGCTTCCGCGCATGTATACCTTCGGACCCAGGGGGATCCGCTTTAAGAGCCCATTCAGGGTTTGGGGTTTAGGGTCACCGAGAGTTGAGGCTTTAGGGTTACTTGGGGTTGAGGATTTAGGGTTACTTGGGGTAGAGGGTTTAGGGTTATTTGGGGTTTAGGGTTTAGGGGTATTTTTGGTTAATTACTTAGGGTTTAGGGTTCTCGATTTCGTGTAACCTACAGCCACAGGGTCGACAACACCATTGTGGAATCACGTCGCTGGAAAGCACAACGTGCTCACGCTGAGGGCCCACGCGCAGAATCTGTAATCATATGCTCGTCGGAAACTAACCTGTGCAAACGCTTCCAAACCCAAGTACCTACTTACTGGGTCCTTTGGACCCTTAGGTTGTCGGGCTGAACAGAATCAAGCTCACAAGTTCCGACCTCATTGGCAAGCATGTATCAAGGCAACCTTCCAGAATGTATCTGTTTCTTTATACAGTCTTTTCGGTTCAATATGTGGTGCATACCAAGAGCTGACAAAAAATAGGTGTCGGTAGGTTAAGGTATACTGTGAGTCATATAACATCAGTTCAATCCTAATGGTAGTATATATGGACAATCTGGGTAATTTGACGAACACCTTCAACAAATCCCTACAAAGCACGTGGCACATCCATACAAGACATTTATAACAACCAACAAAGAAGCCTTTGCGAAGCCCCTTTTACACATAACCCTAAGGGCCCATGTGCGCAACTAGTAGTATGCACTTGCGCCCTAAAGTACCTGTCTACGGATTACTTTACCAGTAAGTCCCCCGATCCCTAAACCCTGAATGGCGTTCCAGTTTAGGGTTTAGGGTTGCCTAAGCCCTCAACTCTGAAGCCCGAACCTCCTAACCACCTAAGTCCCCCGATCGCTAGCACAAGCCCAAGCCCTAAACCCTAAACCCCAAACCCCAAACCTCTCAACCACCTAAGTCCCCCGATCGCTGAAGCAAAGACCCGACCCTAAACCCTAAACCCTAAACCCTAAACCTTAAACCCTAAACCCTAAACCCTAAACTTCAAACCCTAAACCCTAAACCCAAAACCCGAGTTTCAGGTTGAGTGCCAAAGGGGAGCCGTTGGATTCGAGGCCTCGGATTCGGCGTTCAGAGCCTTAGGGTCTAGAAGAGATGATTATTATAGGGTTTAGGGTTCTTATTATAGGGTTTAGGGTTTAGGGTATAGGGTTTAGGGTTTAGGGTATAGGGTTTAGAGGCCCCAAAGTAGTTCCTTTTTGGAGTTACCCTATAGGATTCTATATATGAACCCCAAAAAGGAACTACTTTGGGGCCTTTGGGTAGGGTCTAGAAGAGATGTTTTAGGGTGTAGCCCTAACTTAGGGTCTAGGGTGTAGGGTGTAGAAGTTAGGGTTCCAGAACTGTGGGAAATTTGGGGGCCTTTAGGCGTCGGCAAAGCATTAGTATGAGAGACGATTAGAAAGATTTATAGCTAGCCCAGCGGCTGACATGTATTTCAAAAAGTGTAGGCAACCTGAATAAAAGCTTGGTAGGAATTCCACTGAGACCAGGACTGTTCACGCAAGTCCTCCCAGAGTGCAGTTAGCACAACCTCCGGACACATGATGGCCGCGAAACACCGATTTGCGAGCCAGGGTTCTCCTTCGTCGCGCCTTTGTCTGGATTGGGAAGCCTGCATAGGGCTGCTGGTGCGATTGTTGCGATGCCCAGCCCTGCGGGCGCTTACGCTTCTGCAGCCTAGAGCTGGATGGGGAGATGATGCTGCAGTGTGTGCTTCTTGCGGACGCCGATGAGTAGTGATCATAGGTTTTTTCGATGCTCCTGCAAGCGGATCACGCAGCTCTTCGAAGTGCTGGTGTGGAGAACAGAGGGTTACACTAAGCAGACGCTGAATTTTCGTGAAGACACGCATCATCCAAGACCTAGTCCAGGGTTGGACGCATGTCCAGGAACTACTATAGGGGCTTGCATAATTGCTAAGACTACTTTGGTGGTTCCTTAGCAACTGTAGTGTAAGATGCCACCAAACCCTGTTCCAATTATCGCAAAATATATTAAGGCCCCTGCATTACGGCTTCTCCTGTTATGTCCGTGAACTACTCCTTGTTAAGCCTCTCTCCCTCAGCAAGACGTATAGGAGAGACCCTCGCAGGGAATAATGTCCTTGAGTGTACCTTAAGGACGAAATTAAATGACCCTTAAGATAGGGTTTAAGGTTCATAGCCATAATTGGGATTCATAGTCTAAGGGTATAATTACAGTGTCTCTACTGTTAAGGTTCTCAACCCCATACATCGCACATTGATCACCTACTGGACTATCAGAGGCCTCGGGCAGTGAAGGCGACGAAGCCAAACACACTCAACCGCTATACAGGACTCACGCTCGTGCAACCCCCGAACCTGAAACCTCCAACTCTCAACCCCATAGCACCAAAGCCCAAAACCTGGTTTCGGGTTTAGGGTGTCGTCCCGAGCGGACTCAGGGTTCTTTCTCTTACCGTAGCTTCGAACTGCTTGACCCCAGGGCTCTGAAAGCGTCACCCTTTGCAAGGCGCCCATCGCGAAGTACGACAAAGTTGGCGCCGCTGATGCCGAAGCCGGGAGGGGAAGGGGTCAGCTCTGTCAAGGTTGTTCGCTTGCTTTGGGTGAAACCCTGACTTTTGGAGTTTGGGAGTAAGGACTCCGGCCTACCCATAGTATCCCATCTAGTTGAATTGCTTTGGCTATTCAGCGTTTTTCCTTTAGGATTGGA